TGTAAACAATTGCATTTCTGTCCTGAAATTCACATACCAGCACTTAAACTGAAATTTCAAGTCCAGTGTTTAAAATCCAATAACTCTGAATCTTAAAGGTGTATAAAGGTGTATATAAATATAAATAAAGGTAATAATTATTCTAGTTCTATTTCTCTTAAATTGCTTCCATGCTTTCAAAACTGCCTGGACAGATGTTGCAAACATCTCTTCTATTGAACATGACAAATACTCCATCTGAGCACTGAATAGCAGGTGGAAGAGCCACTGATGGCTGCAGTGTGATTTTTAAGCAGGAATTGAAAGCAGCATTTCCAAATACAAACTCAGATCTCATAGACTGCAATCTAAATGAGAATAACTGTGCTTTGGGAAATTCAGTGATTTCCTTAAAGGCCAAATGCAGTTAGGAAAAGGTGTATTCACATCATCAAATAGCAGAGGCCCAGAGGTGCAGGCAGCTATAAAGTTACGTGATGTGTTGTTATCAGTGTTTGAGGCATGGGAAAACTTCCCCTTCCTTCATAAACCTCTGCAGCTGAAAGCATCCCAGCACCCATCCATTCCACCAGTGGAAATGATTGTGTGAGCCTTCTGCCATCTGGTTTTGGTCCAAATCAGCCAGGTTTAACAATAAATGGAATTGAAAAAGTTAATCTGGAGTCTTTCAGTTGAAGATAATTTTGAAACAGTTCTGCTGTACATATCCCCAGATTAGGAGTTTTTTTGCTCATTTTAGACAAATTGCTGACAATAAATGACATTGTGCCCAGAAGGATCACCTCTTCTAACCTGCTGACCATGCTGACACCTTTCATAAAGACCAAAAACTAGACTGGACTCAATATTTTGATAAAATATTGGCCATTACAAGAGAAATACTTTAAATTCTGCCAGTTTCTCCCTCAGCCTCAACAAGACACTGTAGTCAAGGTATGTAGCGACTCAGAGTTTTCTCAGCTTGTAGTTTGCAGATGAATAGACAAAATTATGTTTCATTACTTCCTGTACCAGTTTTGCAAGGCAAAAATGTGTATGAACAGATAAAGGAAATAAAAAAGGTTTAAAGATGACTGTCTGAAATTTCCTGCCATCAACTTTTATGTGATCATCTGTGTATGTAATGAGAATTTTATATGGGCAGAAAATCTCATTCTTGGGACAAAATTGTACTTTTCTCAGACAATGGTTTCTCTCTCCTCTCTGTTGAAGAATTTCTGTTCTGTAGACATAATTAACAATTAATTGACATGGATCCTTACATTTGCCTCTTCCCAAATTCCAGGAGAAAAGCCCTAATCTATAGGTTACAAAGTCAACTCCTGTACAGCTCACAAGGCTTGACACAATGTAAAGGCTCCAGCAGGAGAGATTAAACTACCTGGGCACTGTGGTGGTTGGAAATCTCTTCACTGAGAGGGAAAATCTACTGTCAATCCCCTGCTCTGATGAAGATTTGCTTCTAAAAAAGATGCTGACACCTTTTCCTGGCTTCTCTGAAAGCAGTTCTGTTGGATCAGGGATGAATTTAGAGCAGAAACTCCACCACCACATAGTACTTCTATATGTGTTTTAGACTACTAACCACAGTCTACTAAATGGACTTGAACATAAATGAACTGTCACTGCGGGAGAATAGCTGAAATCATCTTGGATGTACAGATAATATTGTCTCAACTGTGAACTCTGCTTTAGAATCTCATTTCAGCCTCTACCTAAAAATCTATATGTCAGAAGAAAATATCCTGGGTGCCATCTACAAACTATAACATGACACAAAAAAGCCATCTTTCTATATGATAGAGCTACTTCTAATTTTCCCATTAGACCAAACGACACCATAAAGAATATCTGCCAACAACATGATATAAAACTACACCATGCATCATGAAAAATAATTGCAATTCAATTACTCCTGAATTATAAAACCGTCAGCTAGGTGCAATAAAGAGAAAAGCCTTAGAACATATGATAAACTGCTTAGCATAGATAATTATACATGTTTGAACAAAATCCCCAAAATAAAACATGTGCACTATGAAGGAACAGGGTAATCATGCCAAAATAATTCTCATTTATAGTAAAGGTTTGAGGATCAGCAATTTTAAAACCATCCCCCTAGAAAAAAAATCAAAATAAATTAGCACTCATAGAGTGTAAAGTAAATTTCTCACTCAGAGAGGTCATGCCCAGCAACTGGGCAAGAAACTTTTTTCTCCTGTCACCTTGCTTAGAGTCTACTTTGCCAAAATATATAGTGTTGCTACTCAGCATCACAGAATGGTTGAGGTTGGAAGGAACCTCTGGGAATTTTCTACTCTATCCCACCTCCTCAGAGCAGTCACCTGTGGCAGCTTGCTCAGCACTGTCTCCAGTCAGGTTTTTAATATCTTCAGGAACAAAGATTCTGCTTCATCCTCTCTGGACAACCTCTTTCTGTATCTGACAGCCTCACAAGTTTTTAATTATTCCTAAACTGAGTTCCCTTTGTTTAATTTTGTTGCCTCTTGTCCTGTCACTGGGCACTGCTGAGAGGAGCCTCTGTCCTCTTTGCACCTCCCCTTCAAGTATTTCTATACATTAACAAGAACCCCCTGAGCTTCTCAACCTCTGCTCATATGAAGGATGCTCCAGTCCCCTCAGCATCTCCATGGTCCTACTCCAGTGTGTTCACATCTTGTACATTCATGTACTGCTTAAATAACAGAAAAAAAAGAGAGAGAGAAGGAAAAAAATATATTGGGGGAAAAGTGGGATTCAGGAAAAAGGTTTTTGCAGGACAAGCAGAGAAAATTAAGCTTCTAGCAGAAGATGTCCTGTCTACACTCTCCACCAGGACCTCTTGGGAGAGGGATTTAATTCTCATTTTTGGTTATGCTGCATTTCAGCAGAGTGAAGAAAATGGCTTTCCTACATTGTTTGTGATTATTACTTTATTAGGAAAAAATAAATATACTCCTTAAAAAACAGCTTTTCCCTAAATTTAAAGTCTCACTTTGGTCTTGAACTTTCACAGACAAAAGTGGCCATGGAAAAAGGCAGATATAACATCCCTCCTGCAGCAAGGCAGAACTGGGTAAGGTTACCAGTTAATATCTGGCTAAAGTGTTGAAACTTTTGCATAAATACTTACTAAAGGGAGAATAAAATTACTCAAAATTGTTATGGTACCATAGTTCCAGAACTTCACAGAGAATTTCTCATATAATCATTAATTTTAAGAACTGGTTATTTCATAGATGCCATTCTTCAGATTTAAAAGCGTCCTTTTAAAACATTTGAGAGATATTTATAAAATAGAGAACAATTTTATTTTAGTGGATTTACTAACAGATTTCATAAATTTGCTTTCTCAAAGTCATGATGACTACATCTCAGTTTCTTAATTGACCTTTTACATGCTTCACAAGCACTTGGGGTTTGCACATATTCATTCTCCTGCTTTGGAGTCAGACAAATATTAGGCAGCATTTTTACTGATGTTAATGAAGTTTCTCAGAAGCACCAGATATGGGTGTGAAATGCTGAGAACTCCAAAAGAAACATTGCCATATTCTGTCACAGTTCTCTTTCAGACCAGAGTACTCTGAGGCCACAGTGGCAGGCAGCGCAGAAATCACTAAAATAGTTGTCTGAGGTAGCAATTTCAACAAAAGAATTTCATTATTCACCTGTGAAATAGGATGTAGGGCATAGGAATTAACACATTGTCCAACGTGACACCTAAACATGGAAAAAAAAAAGGGACCAAGGGAAAAAAAAATCTAAAAAGGTAATAAAGACAAAGTTCACCCTAGAAGCTAAATTAAATGTTTTTTGGCTTTTTGAACTATGAGCTTTTCACTCTGCATTTCTTTGAATTGCAGTCCCCAAGTCAGTGGTCATTGAGCCAGCTCCTCAAACCAGGTAAGTTATGGGAATCCTGGTGCTAACTAGGAAGGTTTGACCCACATAAATTTTTTTTTACAAGTATCAAAATTCTTGTGTTGCACTGTCAGCCTTGTCCATATCAATTATGTTCCCACCCTGGATATTTAGCAGGAACCACAACCACTGCTATGATGATGGGTAACACCTCTCACATGCTCTTTAAAAAAAGAGTAAAGCAGAATTAAATTCACTAAAAAATTAGAGACTGACCTTTCTAGAACACAAACAGAGGTCTAAAGCCACCACTACCTTTTAGCTAGAAGAATTGTGCTGGACACTGACTTCTGCCCATTCAATTTCAGTAAATTACCTCTACAATAAAAACACTGACAATTATCCCTTGTCAGAGAAAATTAGTAGAAAATTTCCAACCTGACCAGCTTAATTCACTTACCTAACATTAATGTGTAGGTTCTAGTATGAGAAGAATTAACCTTTAACCTGGGATGGTGGGGCATCCTACAGCAACTCTTTTATTAACAGCCAGACCTCTAGTGGGCTGACACTGCCATGTGAGAACAATTTTTATAAACCTCTCTCCAAGATGTGACTGCCACATTTTCAGACCATTAAGGAAGATTTGTTAAAAAAAACACACAAAAAGTCCTTACTAGCAGGCAGAAGTACTGCCAGAAGGGCTGGATTTTGAAATAGCAGTTATTTTGTGTGTCCAGTTTCTAGGAGCTTCAGTATATTTAAAGCTCTACATATGTAAATGCAAATAATAGAGATCTTTTCATCAGTTTTATGCAGTTTTATGCAGTTCTATTTTCTTGTGTAAGAATAAGCCAATTGAATGCCAGATGATTCAAGTAGAATTCACTAGAACACACATCAAGTAAATAGACTGACCACCTATAATTGCTGCAGAAGTGATTAAAAAAGTAAATCTGTAAAGATCCTGTTGTTACATGGAGCTGTCCATTCTCTCAGATTGAACATGTTAATCACGAACTGATTGATCTGTGACTGGCACCACCACACCCTTATTGATCACATGCAAAGGCAATTCAAAAGTAATCATGAAAATCACCCACTTCCTGCTTTCTAGGGCATTTATAAGGCTCAGTCAATTACTCCCTTTTCCTTGTAACCCCGAATTTGGATAAATGAAGCTACATGAGGACTAAGCTATCCCAGCTAGGAGCCCTGCTCTCTGTGCTGGTTGCTATGATGTGACTCTCTGTGAGCTGCTAGCACCCATGAGAACAGGTAAACTTGGCACTCTAAAGGAAAACAGAGTATTTTATATCCAAATGTCTATTGGAGCAAGAGCTTTTGTCCTTATGTTTTCTACCTGGTGTTAAAATACAGTTGTATTTGCTTAAAAAAAAAAGAAAAAATCGGGTTTTTTATGAGCAGTTAAATATAAGTGGCTTCACACAACAGAAGATATGTGAACCTCTGAGGTAAAACACTTTTCTCTGCCCTATTTTCATTTGAGATGGGCTCCTTTAGGGTTTGATGAAGAAACTAACCGGAATTATACTTTTGATTTCTCTGGTTGGTTTGCTCAAAGGAGAACCATTTCAGATATCATAAATCAGAAAACAGAAGTAGTTCCTAGCATGTTATAAATCACAGTTGTTTTCATCCCCCATTGAGTGTCTCTGCAAACTGTGAGGTTCTTACTGTCTGTTTTTGCTTTAGACTTGTAATAGATTTAAAAATATATTAAATTTTAGGAAACAACCTATTAATACTCAAATTTAAGCTTCAGAGGTTTTTAGGCTTGGTGTTTTAATCATGGTTGCTCTTTTTATTTTTTTATTTATTGTAGGTAATCTTGGACTCTTTATCCATACTGGTTATACACTATTGTGCTTCTGTTTTGTGGTTTAGCAGTTCTCATATTCTAAACAGATCTGAAGAGGCCAAATTTGAGTAGTTATAAGGACAGATGGAAGCAAACAGAAGAACCCATGTCTCAAAAAAATGTCATCAGAAGCACTAAGAGCTCTGTTTAGAGGAGCTGACCTGATTTTCCACTTCCTCTTAACATGTGTAGGCATTAAATTTGCACACGATAGATGTGGGATGCTTCCGCTTGTAGGTGGGAGCATTTTGAACAGGTGTTAGTGATCTTAATGAGCCCCACAAAATGGAAAAACTGCTCTGGGAAATCAGCAAATTTTGCTGTGGATAAAGTAGCAGGAGCATTATAAAGCACTGTGAGTTGGGCTCTTCCTAATTCCCTTTCAAGGATGTAATGACTTTTGTTTGGTTTTAAAGAGCATTGCCTGTGCCCCTTCAGGTACAGGATAGAATCTGCCTTAGGAAATAGTTATGGGTTTGGTTGCTCCTTTTTCTTTTGATAGTAAATTCAACTTGCTTTATTTTAACATATGCTTTTCTAACTTATACCTAGTAGCATTACTTTTTTTTATAATTACCTTTATCTGAATTTCAACCAGAAATAGAAAGAAATAACACAATCACTGCATAATGTTAACCTTAAAAAAAAAAAAAATCCTTGTCTTTATCTACTCACTGTTTTCCACATGTTGCCTAATTAAAGTATTGGATTACTTTAATCAAATTATTTTCTCAATCTGTTATTTGAATTCTGCTGAAAATGTTAGCTTTCATGTGTTTGTAAACCTTTATCTTTAACATATAAATTGAGTTTAGCATACAGTATTGGATTCACATAATTTAATATGTAATATAATTCTGGGGAAAAAAATCTTGTTCACCCCCAAATGAACTAATTAAATAAACTACTTAACTTCCTAGTGTTGCTAAATTCAGAAGCCAAAATGTTTCACTTAGCTCTTTGATTATTTTGTTTCAGTTTGCTTTAATACTCTTTGATCCTATATGTCATATTTCAAAAGTGACAGGTGCCCTAAGAAATTGTAGTAGCAGAGTGTGGAATTCAAAGCAAGACTCTTACCAGCCTGCTAATGACAGTGGGGGAGCACAGAAGGATATCTGAAACTCAAGCTGATCTCCTCAAAAAAAGCAAAATACGAGCCCGCCTGACACAGCCAGCAGAGAGAAGCGGGAGAAAGGCTTTTGGAACCACATGGAGGACAAGGAGCAGCGACCTGGGAGAAGTGAGCGTGCTGGGAAGCTGCCCCAAGCTGAGAAGAAGCTCCACGAGGCTGTTTGTGTGCTGCTGGTGGAGCTGTGCGAGAGGTTCACCTTCTTCGGCATCGTGTGCAACATGATCCTCTTCTGCACCGCCAAGCTCGGCTACCGCAGCTACCAGGCAGCCATGGTCAATATGTGCTTCGTGGGCACCTCCACGCTCACACCAGTGCTGGTGGGCTGGCTGGCAGAGTACCTGGTGGGGAGGATCAAGCTGGTGTGCATCTGCATGTTCCTGCACTTCCTAGGTGGGTGACTGGAGACTGTGGCGTGTTTTACTAATTGTCTGGCAGAAACGCGCTGTGTTTGGCATCTGACTGTTTTTCCCCAGCCTCTTTTAACACCTTCTCAGCTCCTCCTGGTGCCTAGAAAGGCTGGAACAGAGGCCAGACAGAGATAAAGGAATAAAGTGGGTATTTATTAAAAACCCTTCAAAGGATGCACCTTGGGCAGTGCAAGAGCCTGGCTGTGGCTCCACCCAAGATGGACCCTGGGTCAGGAGTTTTCACATTTTTATAAGTTTTGGTCCATTTCCATATTGGGGTTAATTGTCCAATTACAGCTTCAGGTGATGAAATCCCATCCTCTCAGTTTGCTCCCTTCAAATCACAGTTTATAATTTTTGGACCTGAAGCTAGAACAGTGTCCTTGATTCTCAGGCAAAAAATTGTTTTGTCTAACTACCCTGTGAAGAGAACATGCTAATACTTTATATGAAGTTCAGAGTCACACACTAATGCAGTGCAGAATCTGGAAAACACAAAATTTAAAACTTAAGGCATCACTCCTCTGCAAAATGCATTGCAGTGTTTTCACCTCTGTAGTTTTCTGAGGCAATGCTTTCAACAAGACAAAACAATGTTTGTGTGTGCATCTTGAGCAGCTGGTGCACAAACTTGGCTCCTCTGAAGTGGGTCAGCTATTGACAGCGTGGATGCCCAGCTCTTCCAATTGGTCCCTAAGGTTATTAGTGTTTGGCACAAATGCAAGGCTTCAGGGAGAAAGAGAATTTAGGAACTGCTTCCCTGCTGCTAGGAGTAAGGTTCTGTGTAAAGCTACAAAGGACTTTTGTATTTGGTCAAGAGGAAAAGTATTTAATACATACCACTATAAACAAACTTTGCCTTCAGTATCCTAATACCTGCACTGAGGGCCTGCCTTCTCTTGGCACGTTCTGAATCTTCCCTGGGTATTATTTTGAGCACTTTTTACCAGAAACAGCACTTCTCAAGCAAAATCCACCTGTTCTATAGCAGGAAGGGCATCTCCCATGCACCATTTTGGCCTCCTAGAGTAGGACATCTCCCAGCACAATCTGCTGGTTACTCTGTCAAATTAAACCAAGTTGATAGATAGAAATGCTTCTTGCTTGAACCAGTTGTTGAGCAAGTCTGATTTCTACACTAGCCAGCCACGTTGTTATTAAGACACACAACAAAGCAAGTAAAAAAATAAAATCAGAGTAATTCCTGTTATGTTCTTGAGCTGATTGCAAAATCATTATTCAAGTCGTCTGGAAAAATGTTTGCTTTGTGTTCCACTGTTTCTCCCCTGGTATCCCAGTTTAAACCTCTTCCTGCCACTTGTCCTTTCAGTTCATTTCTTAAAGCAGAATATTGGAGACACAAACACAATTTGATGCATTTGGGTATTGTTTTATCTAGAACATTTCTTCCTTTGGAGGTAAATCATTAAACATTCCTGATATATTAAAGTTTAATGCACAGTTATAGTGTTGTTGAAACATCAATATATTTTAAGCTTAGTGTCCAGTAAAACTTGAACAATCTATAACTAAATCTGAAAGACTTGCTTTGCAGACTAGAAGTGGCAAATGCAATTCATGGCAGTGCTTCTATAGTTAAATTCTATGAAAATTATATTTTCTATGAAGCTGCTACAGAAAAAAAAAAAGTTTTCCACAGAAGTTTTGAGAATTTATTTCTTAAATTATGGTTCCTACTGCAATTCTGGAATTTTAGAAGACGGGGGAAAAAAAAAAGCTGCATGCCACTGTAGGATGTTTTGTGGGTTTTTTTTTAGCTAATTGGTAGTTCAGTTGGTAGAAGTTTCTGAATCTTTACAAGCCCTTCAGAGGAGGTTTGGTTTTCAGAGATCCATAGTGGTATTGGTTTACATAGCAACATCCAAAATGTTTCTGTCTCAATACAGAACTCTGCCTCTCCCTCTTTACGCTTTTCTGTTTGTGTTTCCATCTGTCTTTTCAACATAACTACTCAAAAAAATGTCTCATTCATCTGATTCTAATTCCTTTCAAATGACAATTTTCTTTCCATTCCAGGCACAGCACTGTTACCTGTGGTGTCATTTCCCTTTGAAGACATTTACATCGACAGACGCCACGTTCTTCTCACCCTACCCAAAAGGGAGCAGAAAATCATCTTCTACTTTGCACTCCTCACAGCCAGCCTGGGAATAGGAGGCATAAGAGCCATTGTGTGTCCACTGAGTGCCTACAGCCTCGAGGATTGTGGCCCAAAGGAGCTGCTTTCATTTTTCAACTGGTTGGTAATTTATTGTTGGTTAAATATCCGCTGGGAATGATGGAGCGTTGAAACGCGCGGCTGAAATTCAAAGCGTGGTGGGCTGCTTGTTTTGTTTTTAATGGCAGAACTTTGAGATTTTGGAAGACTTTCCAAGAGTTAAAACTTTTCCTGGCTTTTTCCTTTTGCTAGTAGGTGAGAATCTACTTTTTTCCTCCTACAGAAGTGTTCAGTCAGAGTTTTCAGGATTAAACAGTTTGCCCAAATACTCAAAAGACTTGCTAACCTTACTGTTGGAACAACATACTCATTTGTTTTTCTACCTTTAACATGGGTATGTCTTTAGGATATTTTGCTCCTAAACAGTGGCAAAATTCAATGATATATTGGGATTTATACCAGGATAAATTTTAAGCAGTTTCAGGCAGCAGCAGGCTGCTGGTTTGCTGGAGATCAGGATTGTGAGTAATCTCAAACTGAACTCAGTGGTAGGGGGATCTGCTGTATTATTTCAGCTTTTTTGCTGTGAGGTTCTGGCATCTGATAAGCCACTTAGCATTTGTATTTTTGTTAATTTTTTTCTCATTCTTTAGGAAAAATTGCTCTGAAAATTATCTTAAAAATCAGGGTTTGGATTTCTTTTATGCATATTTTTATTAGCTATTTCTTTCTCCATGCATTACCAGGGAGATAATTTTGCCCTTATTTTGCCCCTTCTGTAGCCCTATAGAGACCAGGGAGATAATTTTGCCCTTATTTTGCCCCTTCTGTAGCCCTATAGAGAGTGCTCTAATTTCTAATATAGCATAATTTCTAATATAGCATAATTTCTAATATAGCATAATTTCTAATATAGCATAATTTCATATAAGCCATGCAGTGAGGAAGTCCATACTCCCACTTCAAGGCAGGGTGAAAGAAAGCTCTGAATGGAGCCCATTTGCATATTAACAATGCAGTGCTGAAGACTCAATGAAGATCTTGGTGAATCAGATCTCTCCTCCTTTGGGGATGGCTTTCCTGGCTATTCTTTTTTCCTCCAATTATGTTAGTATCAAGGAGTTTTGAATTAAATCCAAACTTCAGTGAATAAAGTATCTTTACCAAAGGTGGATGAGGCTGTTTAGTTCCTTAGAGCAGATTCTGCCTCCTTGACCTGCCCATAGGAAAGAAGAGGAAAAAAAATCCTTCCTTTTTACTCTATTCTGAGTTTTAATCCTTAATTAGCAACATCATTTTGATTAAATAAGACTCTCGGGGATTAAGACTGGAGAGCAATCAGTTGTTCTGAATGATAGCTCTGGAGAGTTTATTGTACTGTGGTCTTAGCCATTCAGAATTGTTTAATCAAAGTGACATGTCTCAATGTTGATTACAAAGGAAATATAATACGAATAAAAAGTTCCTTGGGGGAATCCAAATGGGTCAGTTCTTGGAACTTTGGAAATATCAAGAAAGGCACATGTGTGATTTGAAAAAAAAAATTAATTTTTACACTGGCACCCAAGGAGGGGCTGCTGGGATGCAATCTCAAAATTTAGAAAAATGGGGGTTTCATTCTAAGCATTTTTAATCTCATTAAACATCTCAGAATATAATCACTTTTTCTTGGTAGCCTGTTCTCTCTTGGTGGATGTTTGTCGTGGGATTGAATTTTAAAATGATGTAAAATGGGATGGCATACTCTTGATGAATTTGAGTCTGGTCTTAGCCAAGTTCTGTTTAAGCAATCAGAATTATTGAATTAAAGAATGGGTTAAAAGTCCTGGTAATTACCTGTTTTCTAATTCAATCCTTCAAGAAGATTGCTTTGTACATCTTACAGCTTGGTTCTAACCTGCAGTATGTACTCTGGCTCTGACCTTATAAATAAATAGAATATACCAATTGGAAGTGAAGAAAAACTTGGATTCTGTCAGATTAAATTTTCCTAGAGCCTTCTGCATTTCTGGGGTTAAGGTTATGGTCTGGCACTATTTTGCAGCAGGAGAAATACTGTCTGTGGGGGCAGAGAGTGAGAGCCAAGGGTGCAGTGAGAATGAGCAGAGCTGTATCTTGTCTTGCAGCCTTGCTGTACAAACTGCAGAGAACATGGCACCAATGGCATTTCCCACCCTCACTCTCTCTGCTTTGCTTCCACATATCAATTTCTGCCATTTTCCTCAATACACTTTGACTTTTTTTTAAAAAAATTATTCTTCTTTGGGATTTTCCCCCCACATTGTGTTTTGAAAGTAATTTTCAAAAAACTGACCTCCTCCTACAAAGACGTACGAACATAAACAATACTTTTCAATAAGAATCACCTGGATGTTACTACTTTAAAGTTTTCAGCACAAAAGCATCTCTTTAAAATGTTTTAAGAAGAGTTTTAGGTTCATGTGGGCTTGTATCATTTCAATTTGTATCTGCACTGCGTTCTTGAAGTGAACCTCTCAAGTTGGATTTTGGCTCTCGTTGTGAAGAGGCCTCAGAGTGCTGAAGCTTCAGGAAGGAGCTCTTCCCTGCAAAGCTGGCCAGGATATTTAGTTTGATGTATCTGACTAATCTGACATGCCCTGATGTGAGCTCTGGGACTCTTTATGCAATAAAGGCCTGGATACTGATCTGCTGCTGTCAGTATGATGTGAGCACATCCCAGAATTCTGGGGTGTGTGTCGAGGTTAGCTCATCTTTCTTGTTTTGGCCATAGGGATTGCTAACACATTTGTTGGGCTTCTTTTCCTTTTCACTTTTGTAAGAGTATAGGAACTTTACATTACAGTCTTAAAGTACATTGCTATGCAGCAGTGAAAAATGAAAGTGCTCTCCTGTACTCCAGGGTTTTATTTGGATGCTCCTATTTCCAAGCACTCATAGTCATGAAGAGTGTCAGGACACTTCTTTAGAAAGTCTGGAAAACAGCCACTGAAGCTCCTAACTTAAACACTGTCAGTTAAAAATTGATTCAAAACTTTTACACATGTTCTAGCCAAATGAGTCATGCAATTATATTTTTTTAAAAGCTTTAGTTGAATGGGTCAATATTTTTATGTACAAAATCCCTCCAACTGTATCATCATTGAATAACATAATTCCGAATCTTTTTGTCACTGAGAAGATAATTCTAGATTCATTGGCCCAAATACTCAAGTTCAAACAATTCCAAGCTGTAATCTTTGACACATTGGGCTAATACTGCTCAATAATTATATTATTTTCAGGGGTTCCAAACTGCAGTAGGCCTGTCACTAGTGGTATGCCATCTGCTTCCAGGAGTGTGTGATTTATGCTTTGGAGATCTTCTCTGATTAGGAGGGGCTCAGTACTTCCTTGGGAAGCACCTCTGCTACCAGTTACAGTCTCAGGGAAAGTTTTGTAGGGGAACCTCCTTGTCAAGGTATTCCAGAAGCTAACAAAAATTCAAACTGAGCCTTCCAGCTAATAACTGATAAAACAAATTTTAATATTTCTTACATTTTTTTAGCATTTAATATTTCTTAACCAAAGGGTGGTGGCATTAAGACATTTCTCAAGCTTGAAGCATATGATTCGATGATATTTCATACACAAAACTTGTTACCAGATATTAAATGTGTAAATGGTAAATGTTGATGTATTTAATTAATGTCACCCACAAGAATATTTCCAGTACTAGACTGATAATTTGTTCAGCTCTACTGCCTTAGTACACTTACTTTAATCATATACCTCTTGGAGCTGAGACATTTGAGTGAAAATCTGTTTTAATTGCTGTGCTAATGTGTGCATGGTACTGATGTGTCCATGATTACTATACTTAACCATGCCTTTAATTGGCTGTTTTAATCTTCTGTAAAGGTTTTTGTACTATTCAGCCTCTCCACTTTTCTCTCTCTTATCTCTGTGTTCCAGGTTTCATTGGTTGGTTAACTTGAATTCAGCAGTGGTCTTTGTCAGCATTTCATACATCCAGCAGTCTGTGGCCAGGAACCTTGGCTTTCTTATCCCATTTGTGTCTGGGCTTATGGCTATGATCACAATTCACATGGTTCGGGGTGAAATGATTTACAAACCCAAAACAGGTAAGAGGCAACTCAGGAAACATCTTTAGAGATTTACTTTCACAGAAGAAATCAATTTGCATATCTAAACTATTTCTTCTATGACTCTGCCCTGTTTGGCTGGCAATCCTCGGGGTTTAGCCCTCCAAAATCTGCATGTGAGGAAGGATATCCATTCTCTGGAGACTCTGGGTAGGTTGTAAAAGTGGGAAGCAGTGTCTGGTAACCAAACTCCTGTTTGTTTTCTCTTGTGTCAGCGCAGGTGTCACGGCCTTTGCCTGTGCAGGAAGAGGTATAATAATTCCTGCTGCTGGTGGAATTGAGTTTGTCACGTTTCATTCAACCTTTTGTCTGCCCAACCCCTCACATTCCAGAGGAAAGGAGAGGGCCATGACCATCTTGGAGCCCAGGTCAGATGAGCCAGGACAAGGCAGAGCTGCTGCTTCATTGAGCTCTCTGCTGGGCTTGTCATGGAGCACTCAGTGCATCTTCTGATGTCAAACCTGACTGGGTTCAGAGGTTACTTGCAGAGCAGTAACATCACATTACTTCTTATTCCCTTTCTGTGAATGTCCACTCTCTACTGTAGGGCAAAGCAAAATAACATTTCTCAAACTTGAAACATCTCATTGAAAGTTTCTAACTTGAAACATCTCATTTCAAGCTCTGGCAATGAATTGAGCTAGTACCAAAATTCCTCTTATCTTTTATTTACTTCTGAAACTAACTCTGCTTTGAGAAGAGCTCCCAGGTCCCACTTGTTTTCTGGTTAGCTTCTTATTCAATTCACTCTGGAATTCTGCACTTTTTTTTTTCTTTTAGTCTTCAGCGTTGCTCTTAAAATAATCTAGGTCTGAAACTTAAATATCACAATGAGTGGTGAGAATAGTTACCTAGTACAGTCCTACAGAACAACAGAAACTCTACCAACTCTCTGTTTTCGGGTTTTGATATGCTATTTCAGATTTTATTCCATAGAGACAACATTCTGCAGGCTAATACCATGCAGCCAGGGAGTTTTAAATATTAGTTTATCTAATAAAACACCCTTGCTTAGTACTTTAAAGCAAGTGCTTCAAGCAGGTGTCAATGGATATTTCTAGACCAGATCATTTTCACATCAGAGATAGTAGGGAGACATTTTCATTCTGCAGTCTTAGTTCACTTTGGGTTTTGGAAAGTATTTATTCAGAGATACTCAATTTATTGTAGTGCTTCAGCACTCAGAAAAGCATAGAAGTGCCATAACCCCTATTTGTATGGATGGCAATTTGCCAAAGGTAAATGAACCTGCATTCCCAAGCCTGAAGCTAACAGTTTTGTGCTCATTCTATTTCATCTGAGAACCAAGCTGGCAATTCATGAACCCAGTAACCAGTCAATAAGTTTTAATACGCCAAGTACTAGACTGGAAACTCCTCTTTTGTCTCACTTGCTACTTGGAAGACCTGAGATGATCATTCTGGCCTTGAAATCCATCCAAGAACATTTTCCAAATGAGTTTTTTTAACTCCTTTTCCTTCTCACTTTGCTACTTCCTTTCCCTTGCTGCGGGACTTCAGCAGGCATTTGATAGATATTCAATAAATGGAAAGAAAAAACAAAGGAAATTAATACTTTACCTGCTCAACCAGAGAAACACATTTTGGTGTGTCAAATGTTTGGTAATAAAAGGGACTCTCCTCCATGGCTGTTGGACAGGATTGCTTTTGTAACAATTGGCTTGTGAACCACCTGGATTCAAAAAAGAATTTTTTTTAAACAAATCCAGAGTTATGACCTTCCCCTCCCTAAAAAGACATAAAGTTGAATATACCAGCTTATATTTTTAATCCCAAAATGTTTTGTCTTGGCTTGTTTATCTTGAGAGCAGGTAAAAGCCATACCAGTGTCTAATGTCTCTGATTGTTTGCAGACAGCTCCCTGCTGACGACTTTTGGGGTCATTTTTAGCGCCCTGAAGACGTGCGGTGCGCGGTATCGCTACTTGGGCACAGCCCTGGCCAGCTGGCTGGACCATGCCAAGGAAAACCACGGTGGTCAGTACAGTGAGACCCAGGTGGAAGGCACCAAGTCACTCACCAGACTCTTCCCCTTGTTCACTTTCCAGATCCTCTACAGAACGTGCATTATGCAGGTGGGTACGCGGCTTTGGAACGGAAAGCTCGAAACAGACTCTGACACGTGCTTAATATTGTCTCTCTAGGTGGTTTTCTCCTAACTGTTGTTTTGCCAGCTGAGCAGCCTTGCATAGCTTTAATTGCCTAAGAATATACCTTGCTGCAGCCTCTGAACTCCTCAAATAATAAAAATTGACTTGGTCAAGGCTCATTAAAAAGCTTTTGTGAGTGCTTGCTACTCCTTTCTAGGAACCTTTTTACGGGCTGAGCCATCTCGTGTGAGAGTCCTGTTCTCCCCATGATGCCATGTCATCAACACTGAGACTCAGGCTGATTAAAACAGAATTTTCCCATTTCCTAAGTGTTCCCTCACTTTTGGGGAGAAGTAGGAAAATCTTTATTTGCTGTTTTGGTTGCATTTTTCTCCGACTGTTTTGACAGGATCGTGTGGCTGTTGTACCTACAGTGGAAGTGGGTGGGTTTCCATTTGTGGAGAGCAGCAGCCCTTTCACAGCCCCTCTGTCGGGCTCTGAGGTTCTTTTCACTTCTGCAAACGTAAATGTGTCAAGAAGCTCCTTAAGCTGACATGATTCCCTCAGATTCCTTTGTCTGGGCGATCCTGGAGAAGCAGGAGTTGGAGGGTTTCCCCTTTGGCAACTGGAATGACAAGTTTTCTTGGAAATTCATTTTCACTCATTGCTGTTTAAATGTTGCTTAAGGGAATTCTTACAAATATGTGGCATATCCTGTTCCATTAGCACTTCCTCATGCCATCATTCCATGTTTCCATCCATCTGCCTCATTCTTTCTCCTCTTCCTTCCCCAATTCCTTCCCCTTCCCCCAGAAGCACAAAAAATCCCAAACAAACAAAAAAAAAACCCTGTTCAAAACCAACAATCACGCCTACATGACCAAGGTTATGCATTAGTGACTGTATGAAAATTAAACAGATATTATCACTTATCAAGTTGATAATAAAGTATTTCTCTAGAAAATACAGATGTCTTTCCACTGCTGAAATAAATTAATCCTTTGGCAGAATTTCCAATAAGTTTAGGGCTCTTTCTCAAACTCAGAGATAGATCAGTATCTTTTTTGTAAAGATTAATAGCATTTTCTTCAAATTATTAAGTTAACAGTTTTCAGTGCCTGTGATTCATATTGATGATATTTTAATTCCTTTAAGAAGTCAATTTTTATTTGCAGTAAGCCTTGGAAATAAGGAACCAACAAAATTTGACTTAGTTCGAAACATACATAGTTTTGTTTCTATTTATTCTCCCTTTTACAATTTGTATTTCCTTTTGGAGGTGGAATGTAGGTGAAAAATATTTTCTATATTGGAGTAATTCTTTAGCATGGACTCTTGGTGGGCAGGGTTGACTACAACCATTGATGAGAAACCCTACACAGCTCAGTTAACAATTATACATTAATTTTCAGACAATTAAAAAGCAGCAATATTCTACCTGAGTTTGAAATCACTGATCATATTGACGTGTGCAGGATGCTGCAGAAATCTAGAACTCAGTAAAAACAGATACAGGGTAAAAATATCCAGTTCTAGGTTGAGTTCTGTCATGACTGTAATCTGAGATTTGCTCGAGTTGGAGTTTTCCAGTCTGTAAAATAGTGTGGATCATGGCTCCCTGTTGCACATGAAATTAGTTAATCAAGATTTCTCAAAAAAAAAAAAAATCCCCAGACAAACAAACAAACAAACCACTGAAAAGTCTGTAAATCTGTTGGTGAAAGCCATCAGGATTTTGATTTTACACTTTTTAATAAACTCAACAGCTCTTCTGCATAGCCTACACAAGCAGGAGGGATTATTTGCTTTTGTAGTGAGAGTCTCACAAATCTACTTAATTGTGTACCCTGTTGACTGCCACTGGGAGGTTCCTCATCTGCTTCTTTTTGTCTTTGGTTTTCAGCCCCCCCAGGTAAAAGGAAGTCCTTTTTAGGTGCTCTGACTGAGTTGCATTAGGCTGTACCCAAATCTTCATTACCTGTACCTTTTAAAGTGCTCCTACCCTGAGCACGCAACCATAAATCCAAAATCAGTCTGTACCTTGCAATTCTAAAATCAAATCACTCTTCATTTTGTTCTTTTAAGATTGTTCTGTTGCACACTGGGTGAAGTGACTGAAGTTTTGGGTGGAATTATTCAGTGTATTGGCTGATGGCTCTAATTAGGGGTGATCAAACAAACTTTTAGACTGTTGCTTAATTTGCTTAATGTAGGAGAAAATCTTATAAAAGGGAAATGTTCTGGCAGAGAACAATATTGCCACTATCTGAAGGGCTTTCTTCATGAATGCCCATTCCTTTTTGCCAGCAGGTATTTGGTTTAATGTGACTTCTTCAGAAGGAAAAACTTGGAGAAATTTCCAAATACAGTGAAAATCTTATCCATGGATTGTGATTTTATCCTTCAATACAGATTCCTTCAGGATATTATCTCCAAACCATGAATTCCAACTTGCACTTCAGTGGATTTGTCTTGCCAGTTGCAGCAATGAATGTGATCAGCATCGTGCCCCTACTGATTCTTGTTCCTGTTTTGGAGTGCATTAACTCATGGCTCTTTAGCTCCAAGGACACTGGACACTCTCCAACAATTTACATTGGTAGGTAAAAAATGTGTATTTATGCAGCTTTAATATTCTTATTTAATATTCTTTCTCTTCTTGAAAGAGAAATTTCAGTGTGATGGATGATCCTAGACAATTATATCTAACTATAAATGTTAATATGGACTTGTTTTGGGATGATGCTCAGAAGTAAATATGTTTCAAAGGAATTATTGAAAAAAAAGAAGTCCTGAAAACAAAAGATACTGAAAAAAAAAATATATAGGTTTTATGTAGGACAGACTCCTCTGACCAATAAAAATTTTGAGGCACACTCACAAATAACTAGGGGTTATCCTATGGAATAGGTACTGGAGAGAAGAATATTAACTATTTATGCCTGAGAACTACTTTCACTTGGTTAACTTCTATATGTTTGTTTATCCATTAGCTTTTGGAAAGTTAATTTACAATCCAAGTCTTTTTTAGAAATTAAAGATTTCTTCAGTTAGTTGCTCTCTGATACTGGAGAAATATGCTGCTCAAAATGATGATTTTGGATCAGTTAGAAATAAAAGCTTTGTTTTTCTGTACTTTTTTATGCTGTAAGTGCATTATTTTTTTTTTAGAATGGATAAACAAAAAACATTCAGAAAACTATGCAAAGCAAATGGGTGTGTATCACTGGCTGCTGTTCCCATTGAACAGGCTGAATATTTCACAGGTGGAAGGTTACTTGGAGAGCTACAGCCTTCCTCCCCAGCCACTAGAGTTTTCATTAGAATGGCTAATAGGAGGTAATTGTTCAAGTGTTTGGTATTTTCATTATTAAAATCTTTATTGTATCCTCAGTCACAGCACAAAGGGATCTCCAAAGGTGAAGGGTTACCTCTTTCTCACAGGAAGTGGTAAAAGTTTTCCCTGCTGTAGATTGGCACTTGTTCCAGAGAAGTTCATAGCCTAGAAGGAATGATAACTTCAATAAGAGTTGGGCTGCCTTCTCTTAAGACTAATGTGGTTTCTTTTATGTATTTTTTTTTAATTGCCTTCAAAACTCTTATGTTCTAGGAGGGCTCCTCTGCAATGCTCTTCAGATGTCAGCTACATGTAGTAGCAACAGCAAAGCAGTTTCCATTCTGTATTCACTTAAAACTATTCCCTTTCTTAGAAACTCTCATTAAACTCCTTACATTTTTTATCTTCCAGTCTGCATCGCAAACCTCAGATGAAAATATTTATAAACCGCTATTTTCTCAGTGTGCTGCTATTAATTCAGTGCCCCATGGCAGGCAGCACAGTGAGCACTGACACACACAGAGGTATTAATCTGACTAAATTAGCCTAATTAAGAGTGTTATTAAGTTTTATACAAACCAGAAGCATATAACACAGCAGGTTGCAATTAGCCTAGTTTTTAAAATAACATCTGCATTAAAACACAAAAAGCACATTCAGATAATCATTTTCCTTTAAACCACGGAAATTTCAAGTTAGTATTAATGTATTATCCTGTTATGTTGAACAGCAGTGGAATATATGCAGTGGTTTATTCTTAATAGGTTCATTTATCAAAATAGCCTCCTGTTAGGGTTATAAACTACCTGAGGCATAAAAATACCTGTGAGTACAGGCAATGGCTTTAGATATCCAAGTATATGACTGCACCTGCAAGTGTGGTAGACCTCTAAGTGCCAATATTTTTGCCAACAGTTAATTAGGTTCTCAATTATTTTCAGCAGCAAAATTGGAAGTATAAATAGGCAGTTGGTGTTAAGCCAGCCTATAACTATATTTTAATTCAACTCCTGTAAGAAGAAGAAATTTAACTAGTTTTCTGGAAATTTTCAGCAAGTTAAGAATAACAGTTTTCAAGGATGAACCATATTAGACAACTGAAATATCTGATTGCTCTGTATTAAGGGTCTACATAAAAACTGTAATTTGTTGCTCTCTCTATGGTTGTTGGTTTATTCATAAAGGTCCAATACAACCTTAGTCTCTGGATAATATAAAGAACCTTGTCCCAGAATCACCCCTAAATATTACTGAAATAGCTTGTTCTCCTGTGAAACCAAAACCTCAGACACTCATTCCAAGCCCCTCATTTTAAAGAGGACTGAAGGGAGAAGAATAAAGATGAAAACCTCATCTCCAAGTCTCTTGGTTTCTTCCCCTGCCACATAAAGTCTTGAGGAAAAAAAAAAAAAGTTGAAATTTTTGGGCACCCAGAGGTTACTTTTTCAGAAATGTATTGGATTTTAGGAAAGGAAAATGCTTCAAGTTTGTTGCACTGTTAGGAATGCTGAACTGCTGGGGGCTTCTTTAGTACCAACACAATTTTTCACTAGGAGAACTCTTGCTTTGGATGACTACAAGAAGCTCCTTGAGGGCTTTATACCTGGCTTTGATAAGGTGCATTGGCCAGAAAACGCTGTTGAATTCCCTCCTGTCATCAATTTTCAAGCAATAATTCATTGATATTCTCATTAAGCACTAGAGGAGCCTAAACATCAAAACAGCTTCCAAAAAGCTCAGGTTGGGCAGGGGAGGTAGGATACTTAAAGATGTGAACACACAAGAAAACTGTGCTAGAGGAAGGGGATGAGAGTTTGGTGCTGAGGGAAGAAACACAACAAGGCTAGGAGTTCTTCATCTCTGCTCTCCTAACACTAAAAAAGACAAAGTGTATGTATGTAATAAATATAGTACACAAAAACAAAAGCTTTTGGCTGTTTATGTCCATTCTATTAAGTGTAGTAATGACCAGTCATGAAGGCTTGGTCCAAGCATTTGAGCCAAAACTGTCAAAAGAGACCAAATTCTCCTCCCATTATGACTTAGAAATGCTGGCAAATCAGAATTTTAGTCAAAATCAATGGGAGCTCAAACCATGAGGGGTATGGATAATTCAGATTCACTTGGAAACTTTGCTTTCTTTGTGGTTTTCTTCTCTGAGAGGATACAACCATTTCATACTGCCAACAACAAAATATATAAAATAACATATTAATAGTATCCTCTGTGCAATGAGTGAAGTGTGTAGTTATAACACATCTGAGTTTTGGAAGAATTTCCTGCTGCCTGGTAGTTTTGTTCCTACCCTTTCTCTTGTATTATCTGGAAGGACATTTCTTTCTTTCTTTAATCCTTCCTTTTCTCCCTCAATCTTCAAAAAATAGTAAAAAATTATTTGTGACTTTGGTTTTCAGAAAAGTTTTTCCTCTCTCTTTTATTCTGAGCTCTGTCTCTGGGCTGAGCTGTTGTCCTTTTGCCATGCACACATAGCAAGCATTCTTTATTCATGTTTAGGTGTTCAGAAAAAGTGATTTGGGGTGGGAGTAGGAAGCTTCTTTTGCTTTTCCTAGGAGTTTGCCTCACTCTAAACACGTGGCGGTCCTGTAACTACAATTTTGGTGAGTGCTCTCTGTGCTCTTTACCCAGTTGTAGGTCACTTATGTGCTGCACTTTCCGTGATGGTTGCTGGCTTCTGTGAAATGCACCGAAAGCACTTCCCTCAGGTGGAGCAGACTCTCTCTGAGGAGGTTCTCCTGGTCTCCTCCATGCCCTGCTTCCACTTGGCTCCTCAGTACATCCTGCTTGGAGTGGCTGAAGCCTTGGTAACCCCCTCCTGTAAGTAAAAGCAAATAGGTGTCCTGATTCTCAGAGAACTGTATCAGCTTCCTAAAAATAATTACTGTCATCTGATGTTTTATCCCTGGCTCTCTTCCACGGGCTTAATGAGCAGAGATCTGTGCTTTACCTGCTTCAGAGAAGCGTGATTTGTCTTGCTGGCTGTAACTCAGGATGAGCAGTGATGTTCCAGATGAACTGGAAGGAGGGAGCACAGTCCAGTCAGGTCCCTGGGGGCACAATCCCCTCTTTGGTGTTGAAGCTGAAGCAGTTTCAAGCAGGGTCTGGGCTGGATGAGCTCACAAGGCCCCTTCTGACCTGAACTCTCCTGTGATGATTTTATTGAGATGGAACAAAAATGCATGTGAGAGCTGAGCTGTGGTTGTACTGTGTGACCACCTTAAAGGCCACAGTCAGAGCAAGGTGAAGCAATTTAATACCTTTTCTTTTTGGTCCCAGCTAATAGAATTATTACATGTTTTTCACTGGCACAGAGCATATGTGGGCAGGTAACAGTGACAGGTTAACCTAGAGAATGGTGTAGGCAGCTGCAAGGTTTTTGTGAGTGCTCCAATCAGGAGCCATGAGATCCTCCACAGATCATCACATCACAGCTTGTGACATGGAGCCAGAGATAAACACTCCTGTTTTTCAGAGCTCAGCTTGTGCCTGCCATCCACACATTTTGTAGTCATACTCTTGATTGTGAGTCTGAACCTCTTCTGCTTTCTGTAATTTACTTTTCTTTGTCTACACTGGCATTTTTAAGGCTTATTTTCTTCTGAGGAGCATTCAGAGTGCTTACCAGTGTTTTACCTTGCAGAGATTTTTTTTAAAAGAAAAGTATTATAAAAATAATCTAAGCAACATTCACTTAGAGACACAGGTAAAGTAATTGACTGGCTGATCTCTGCAGGTATTTAATTCTATGGGTTGAATGTCTCTTGTTCCAGTACAACCCCAGAAATGTTCAGGTTTTTATTTAAGAGCAGGAAATAACTTCAGTGTCTCAGCTTCATTCTTATACTCTGAGACTACTGAGAGCTGTGGGTCACAGTCTGTCACTAAAAAGGTAATTTTCCCTAGTTTTAAATACTTAGCACTTTCATAATGCCTCTTCATCTGATAGCTCTCAAGTACTTAACTGCGACAGGTTTCTAGGCAGGTAATTTGGTTTCTAGGTTACAGGCTAAGTGTAACTGAAAACTGTGACCCTCTCTGTTTAGCTTAACAAAAAAAAAGGTTAGGAGGTGACTTGCTTACAGTCTTCTCATGCAAAAGCATGAGAAGAATATTGCTGGTAGAATAAGGCCTTTTAATCTAGCACAATGGGACACAACTAGAGTCCAATGACTGGAAGATTACATTAGCCTTTAGAAAAGAAATAAAACTCCATCTTGGGGGTTTTCTTCCCTTTTTTTTTTAAGATCTTTTTTTAAAGGATTGTGGTTAGAATTTCTTAGGAAGAAAAGCTGTCCTTCCCCATTTAGGCAGAGATTAAACATCCTGCTTAGAGCTGCAGTGAGAGGTGTGACTTAAGACCCCAGCTAAACTGGGACTAAGTCTGGAGACCTGCAGGTAAAAAGCTAGAGGTGCCTAAAATAGGATGTGGCTGTAGCTGATGGGGAAGAAGGCCTCCATTTGTTTGCCCACAAATTGGTGTCTGGCTCAGTTTGTCACGGAGTGTCTTGGCTGTGCAGGAAGGACAAGCAGGTTCTCTGCAGCTCTCCCAGCTGCTGCTGGAGAAGAGCCTGGTTTTCCCCCAGGTCTTGCACTGAATCAGGTGGCTGAGGTCTCCTGAATCCTCTCCAGCAGCCCTCAAGCTCTGCATTCAGGTTTCTGAACTGAGCTCTGGATTTCCACTTCAATTTGGACTGAATTGCTGCTCAGGAACCCTTTGGTGAACCCCCGTGGATGTCAGTGGCAGCCTAAGCCTTGCAGAGTTGTCTCACCCTTCCTGACATTTCACTGCCTTTCTTATGCAGAAGGTCAAATTCAATTATCATAATAATTTACTGGACCTGAAAGTTCCAATCCAAGCTGAAGAGGTAAATGGTCACTCTTTTAAGCAAGGGGAAGAAAGGAGATATCCCATTTCTGAGGAGCTTGGTTAGAGAAGTTAAATTTGGCACATTGAACTCTTTGTCTTCATTAGGACCTCTCTTATTGAGGTTGTTCATCCTGGAAAAGAGAAGGCTTCAAGGTGACCTAATTGTGTCATTTCAGCACCTGACAAGAGCCTACAGATTATTTACAAGGGCATGTAGTGACAGGACAAAGGGGAACAGCTTCAGACTGAGAGTAGGTTTAGATTAGATATCAGGAGGAGATTGTTTGCTGTGAGGGTGGTGAGGCTCTGGCACAGCTTACCCAGAGAAGCTGATTCCCCTTTCCCTGGCAGTGCTCAAGGCCAGGTTGGGCTCTCAATAGCTTTATTTAGTGAAAGGTTTCTTTGCCCATAGCAGTGGGGTTGGAACTGGCTGACCTTTAAAAGTCCTTTTCAGCCCAAGCTACTCTATAATTTGGTCCCTGTTACTTAGAACAGCGTTTATACAACATATTTCACTATCTTCTTGATAGGAGTTTTGAATAATTATCTGCTTCAGGTGGCACGAGCATCTCTTAGAGTAATATCTGCCCCTAAGGAAGTCTTAAAAATAAAATAAAACAACAGCACTGCTCTCCTTCACAGTGCTACAAAGTTCTCACTAGCCTTTGGCAGGCTGAATTTGCAACCCTAGCTGGGTTTAAACCAGGAATCTACAGCTCTGTTAGTGAGAGGATATATTGGGGCTGGCTTTGGCCACTGATGAAATGCAGCAGTCTCCAGGGGGAAATGCAGCAGCTGTTTAATAGCTCCCAGCAGCACTGTGGGGAAAGGGAGGCTTGTGGCAGGCTATTGAAACAGCAGGGGTAATTTAGGTAAGTAGGATGCAATTACCCAGCCTGAATTTGACCAAGATGCATGTTTTGTACCCCTGCTATTAGAAGGGAGGAACAACCAGAAACTTTTAAGCATTTTAGTGTCTCAAGTTAGCTGTACAATGCTTCAGACTGTTGATCTACAGATGGTGTTCCAGGCTCACCTGCTTTCTTTTGCCCTCAGGCTTCTGGGTCCAATTGTGAGTGAGGAAGAAAACACTGTCTGTGGTATTTTTTTTATATGTTTTCAAAGCTCTCATTTGGACATCCAAATTAAAAATGGGAAACTATGGTGATTGCAAAGTTTCATTTGTATTCAGAGGTGTTTCAGCAACTCAGCATCCAAATAGGATCCTCTGCTGGCAAGTTTTTCAAGCTGGAGGTCATTCTAATTCTTCTAACAAAGCAGGTGGGGAGACTGAGTCTGGGAGAAAAAGTGTGGAGGAGAACTCAAGGAGTGAAATTAGGAAACAAAAGTTTTTGAAGATGGGTGAAAATTGCACAAAAAGAACAGCAATCATGAAGTCTTGCTGTTACAGCCAAATTACAGCTGGTGGGATTATTTATAGTCATCCATGCTACAGCAGCATGCTACAGATTCCCCTCTCCACCAAAGCTGTTGCTGCTTCTGGTTTAGCCTTCTGGCAAGAAAGTGAAGAATGAGGTCTTAAAAATGAGCCAATGAGCCTGGGGGTTGCACTCCAGGGAATTGGAGCATGGTCCAGCCTGAAGGTAAAGCAAGCTAACTGTCCAAATGAAGGCAGAGTTCTAGATTTTGGAAATATTTCCTAATGGCTGAGTTGCACTGGCTCTGAGATAAAGTTCTTGCTGCTCTGCAGTTAATATCACATCCATTGCCTTCATGCTCACTGACTGTGCTGGTGTTTCTCTGCTCTTTGCTCATGCCTGAGGCTTTAAAAGGTGAGAGCAAATGTCTGGGTGAAAGATCTGTCTGTACTTGTGGAATATGGGGAGCTGTATGTGGGTAGTTTATTACAGATATTCATTTAAGCAGTTTGGATAATGCTTTGTTGTAGGGTACATATTAACATGTTATAGGGTACATCTGATTGCTCTTCTGCAGCAAGTACATTCTCTGTATAAAATACATAAATTCACTAATAGCCATGCTTTAATTTTTTTTTTCTGTGTTATCTATGTTCTACCATCATTTAACTCTTCCTTCTGTTTCACTTTTTTGACTTTTTTAACTTGTAACTGTGTCTGCTTTCTCCCTAAGGTTCCTTACTTTCATTCCAGCTCGTGCCTGAAAGAATGAGAGGGATTTCCATGCATTTTTTAGCTCTCTTTAATGGAGCTGGCTGCTTTATGGGAGCTCTCTTTGTTCAGACAGCCCACACTGGCACTCAAGGTAAGAGGATGCTCATGATGGGTGTTCCTGAGCAGTTTTCTAATATTATTGATCTGGAGAATCAGGCAGCAGAATTAAAAGGGATGCCAAAGTTTTATTGATTTGCTCTCACAATTAAGATGGAATTAAGATAGGAAATAGCCTTCCAGCTGTATTCATCCAATTTTAATGAGTCATCTTAGTTTTGATAGTCAGAGTAATTAGAGGATGGCATCTTGCAGGAAGTCCTCCTGTCCAATCTCTCTACTTCTGTTCTGGAAGACTGAAAATAAATTGGCTAGGAAGCACCTTTCTGTGCTCCTGGAGAAGTACACTCGTGTTATTCACACTTACATGGAAGTTATTCCACTTAGATGGAAGCCTCTGGCCTCGAGAGCAAGATCTGTGCTTTAAAGAATGGAGAATATTCCTTCCTGTGGAATCAGTGGTTCCCTCTGACTTTGCCCAGCTTTTGGAAGAGAAGATTCTGTGACAATCCAGTCTCACTGTGGGCTTGCCCTTTGGCAGAGGAATGCTGCAATTCCCAGAAACCTTCCTGTTTCAAAGGAGTTATTGCAGGTTCAGTTGAGGTGTATTTAGTGGAAGCTCTGGAGCTGTTCCTGGGTTTCAAGATAAGCCAGGAACTTCTTAAAGTCATTTACTCTTTGCTAATGAATCTGTGTTCAGATTCAGATACAGAGCAGTCTTGTTTCACAAGTAAATTTAACAAGTAAAGAGCTTGAGTTCTCAAACTGAGGGGCAGGGATCCATCCCTTTGTTCACAAATTTGAAATAGTCTTGCTTGCTGAAGGAATATTTCTAAAGATGCCACCAACAAGCTCTGGTGGAACTGTCACAGGGAGCTGTTCTTTAGAGACCACAGCTAATCCATGACACCACTGCAATTGCCACGGCTGCAGGATGTTGTAACAGCTTAGGGTTAAAGTTTTGGGCTCTTCTCTTTCCTATGTACAGAATCATGTCATTTAAAAACAAGCAGAAGTGGGTGTCTTGAGAGTGTGACAAGAAATTTTTATTCCTACTCGCAAGATCTGAACAAACAAATCATGCTTTGACACGCAGTCCTGTTTTTAAGCTAAAAATTCAATTAAAATTTTATGACAAGGTATAAAACATCACCTGGAGATGAGTAAAAAGCAGGAATGTTTACACAAATGAATCAGGCAAAGAACTATTAAACACCAAGCTATCCAGTGTGGAGAACTGAGCTCCTTGAATATCCCCCAGTGGAAAATGTTTTTCATTATTGTGAGTTCACTGTAATGTGGGGTAAATGAAACAAACAGTTTAAGACAGACTGTGCTGATGATTTTTTTCTTTCCCCTCCAAAGTATGGAAGCTATTAATTTTTATGAGATTGAAATACTTGTTAAAACTGACATATTTTACTGCAACTTGACTTTGGAAATAATTAAATAACTGCAAAATAATTAAGCATAATGTCAGCAGCAAAATATTTTGCCTGTGTTGTGTCACTGCTATGTAATTAATTTCTTTACAGAGTATTTCTGTACTCTGTGGTAGAGGATACCAATTTTTGCATTTGATTTGCAATTCAGTAGATTTTTGTCTGGTTCTCTATCAAGGTGATTCATCCTTTTTCTGTGAGTCTGTATGAAATCATTGATTCAAAAAAGCAAATGTTCTTTTCTTGCCAAAAATACTGTTTTAACAGAGATATTGTGAGTTTTTTATCCTGGCTGAGACCAAAAAGGCTGAACTCTAAATCCTCCACAGACTGCAGTTGCCACATCCTAACCCCTTTCTCTCAGGATTCTTGAGCAAACTGAAAAGTTTCCTGGCTAAAATATTCCTCACTCTTAGAAAGTTGGGTGGCAAACTTCTCAACTTAGCTTTTCTTTATTTCTTTTTCCAAAGCTGTAAGCAGCAAAAGTCCTCTGCAAAACTTGAAAAGCTTCAGGGAAAATAAAGTGAAAAATGCTCAGTGATTGCTCTGCTGCTCTAGCTAGAAGAGTGTTAGAGATTACTTGCCCTATTAATATGTAAACAACATATTAGTGGGCTCTCACTTTTTATTTTTACTTTTATTTATTTTTATTTTTAAAAATAATTGGGATCTCGCTGGGTATCTCTTTCCCTGTGTTCCTTGCTTGAATAAGATTAATAATTCCAAGTTACCACCATTCACTCAATTCACAGCTTGCAAATGATGCTGATATTCCTGAAAGTTCATTTGTGTTCTAACACTCCTCTGCTCATGCCAGCCTGCTCTCCTGCTGACTCCTAAGTCAGAGTAGGTTTAGGATCAGACTTTTGTAGGTGGGGAATACACTATAGCAAAACAAAAAATGCATTTTAGGCTCAGTTTTGGTTTTCTCCTAATTTGGTAGGAAATGTTATGCACATCATTTTTTTTGTTCCATCTGTATTTTTTCCAACTGTGCTTCTTACAGTGGACTTTGATGCTCATAACAATCAGAAAAATAATATTTTTTTAAAATTTATTAAAACCTAGTGGTTGCCTAATGAACCCCTTAAAGATGATTGCTGTAAGGAACAAATTTGTGGCCTCTCAAGTCAAATTAGAATCCAATGACACAAATTAAGCTTTTTTTAATTTTATTTTTTTTTTAGATCTGTTTAAAGAGCTTGTAAATATTCAGTGCCTGGACAATTTATGAAACTGGGGAGTAAAGCAAACCAACCAGAACTCTTTTTTTTTTTCCTTCCTTAAAAAAAGGCTCAGCTAATTTACTAATTTATTTATATTGGAAAAGCAAGCTCTTTCTCTTTTGCTGCAAGAGAGGATAGTGTTGATGAAATGGTTCTGTAAGATTTAACAAGGCTTAGTGAGTGACTCTTGGGCTATGAATGTTTTTGTCTTGTCCCATGATTCTTGTTTCACTAAAACCTGAGCCAAGACTATTTCTGGTTCTCTCATCTCTGAGCAGTGAGCCCATGTTTTCCATGTTCCTGCAGTGAAGTAGATCCTCCACTGAGGATTTGGAAGTGTTGAAGCACAGAGGGTGTTGACAAAATTTAAACGTTTTTATCTCCTACTTTATGTCGCTCGTTTAGAATTTTATTTGGGTTTTTATTGGCAAAGTTGATCAGATATCAGTCACAGTCAAAGCTGCATTAATCATTTTTAACGCATCTATGGAGGATGGTGTGAATATGATAAAATAAGACTTTTTTTAAAAAATCTGACGAGTGCAAACAGATGATGGGTGACAGTGATATTTTCAGTACAAGCTGGGAAACTGCTTTCTTTTGGATCTCTTACCTCTCCTAACATTTTAACGGAAGAAGATGCAAGACAAAACCTGTCCTCTTATGCCAATCATTATATTTCTCCAAAAATATTAATATAAATATGAAAGAAGGAAATAAAAATATAAAAAGAAAAAAGGTCAGAGGAAGGAAACTGTCCCAGACAGTTTTCCTGTTTGTATTTAGAGAATTGCTAGGGGGGGGTTGTGATTTGAGTTTGGATTTTTTTTAATTTTGTTTTAGGTTGGGTTTTTTTGGTTCTTTTTATCATTTTAGTCTTGTGTGATTCTAAATACCAAAGATGATAAAGCTAAAGGATATTTCTTGCAGTCCAGATGGTGGTGGCCACTGGTGGTGGTGGCCACTGGTGCCTACTTAGCTAATAGGGATTAGAGGCAGAGTGAGACTTTAATTTGGATATGATTAAACACTGAATATATGCCCACTAAGTTGATGAAATGAAGGAAGGCAATACAAACCTTTTTTTTAAAATAAGAATTAATTTTTCTCTGCAATCACAGCATAAGTTGCAGTATAGCTGCAAAAATGCAGGAATGGTACAGGATAGAGTAACTCCTGGCATGTGACTCTCTTGTTTTTTCTTCAAGGTTTTCCCCATAATAAAATAGGACAGTGTTATTCAGTGAAAAAATCCCTGTGCAACTTCCCCTTGAGCCCTCTGAGGGTGCCACCACAGCAGCAGATTTGTGTGTGCTACTATTTGTCAAAGACTGGCCCTTTTTTGGTTTTGTTCAATGGCTGGAATTGCTGTCAGTCACCCACCAGAAACAGCCCAGGAAAGTTTTTATCCTTAAAGCTGTCCTAATCTCTGCTTCACCTCCAGCTCTGCCTGCTTTGGTAGGATCTGTTGTTTCCTCTTGGTACTGTAATTTATTCCTTCTTCTTGAACTAACTGAGCAATTTTGATGAAAAAATGATAAGAATCCCAAATATGACTGAAAGTTTCCCAGGTACTTCATTTCCATGATTGTAGAGCAGACTTGAGGAACCAACTCTGCCTAGGCTTCATTTTCTAACTTGTTCTAAATTTGCCATAAAATACATAACCAATCCACCTCTAACCAGCAGAGAAAGTCTATTTAAAATAATGCACCTAAAGGAAACTTCTGTTTCTTTGTGGTGATTCATGCTGCTAAGTGTTTCTATTGTTGGAATAAAAATGGAAATCAGGAGCTTGTTGAGGAAAGTTAATTCCCAGTGAGTGAATTATCTGTGTGACAAACCAACCTTGTAATTGCCACTTCTGCTGGCAATCTCCACAGAAAAGTAAAGGATGCACAGAGCCCAAAGGCAGTATCTTTTGGGGAAAAGTGAATAGTTAGCATGTTGCATGCTGAGGCAAGGATGGGAAGTGGGGTCAGGGGTGAGGGCATCTAAAGGGAGTTTTGGTGCCTGAAACATGTGGGTGAAGTTTCAGCCCTGATGATTCTTCTCTCAAGACTTCCTTGAAGTCCTTGAAACCACAGGGGAGGATTCTCTGTCAAGTGAGGATAAGTAGATGTAAATGTAGTCCAGGTTTATCCCCTGTTTCATGGGGGGAAAACAAAAATTAAAAGGAAAAGTAATGAAAGGAAAAAGAGTGAGAAGTAATTTTATTTTTTGGCTGAAAGTAGGAAATGGTTGTATTAATTTTTGCTGCATCACAGATGAAAATAGAAGGCTATAATCTGGATATCCTTAGTTCTGCTGCCATCCTTGTCCCTCTGTAGAGGAAAACCTACCCCTAACAAACTTTGTCCCTCTCTGAGAGGAAAAGGAAGCCTCAATCCTACATCTTGCTCTGGACAGAGCAGCAAACTTGAGAGGAAAAGTGTGGCAGCTGGAGCCTCACCATACCCTGTCTGATTTTGTCCCTGCCTGTGCTGTGGATCATTTGGATTCTCCAAAGGCTCTCTGTCATTATCCTGGCCTCACTGTTTAAACACCAACTCCTAAAAAAAAGCAGGGAGGAGACAGAGCAAGGATCTTTGACCCAGGCCATGGAGGAGGCCCATGGTGAAGTGGGAGTGGAATCCAGATCTGCTTGCCAGGCTGCCATCCCACCCTCACAGAACCAACCAGCCCCAGTTTCTGTGGCTTTTTCTGGTGCCTTTACCAATGGTAAGACAGAGAATGGTGCAAATGGACCTTTGAAACACAGAAGCCATAAAACCCTTTTTATTAACTTTTTCAGTTTATTTTTTTTCTGTTCAGGTTGCACTGTAAATGCCATTCCATTAGGAAGGTCCTGCTGCTGCTGTAGTTAGCCCAGCCAAGGTGAATCACCTAGCAGACAGTGTGAACTCTGCTTTGACAAGCTGCAGTGCAGACTCCAGTGCATGATTTCCCTTTCATCACATCCACATGCTCTGTCTCTGCTTTCTAGTGGCCCCTGGGGGATGCAGATTGAAAAAATACCTGATTGTGAATGATGACACTAAAAGTTTATAAGCTACTAAAATGAAGTTACAGCACCTAGGAGCTCAGTCAGCTTACAGTGTTAGATGATAGGCTTTTAAACCTGGCTCTGAGATAAGGCTACAAAAGGAAGGGAGCAGGCAGAGGTGTGGTGGGTGCTGCTCTGTGACAAGCAAAAAGGGTAACATGGGCTGGAGAAAACTGTGGAGGACCTTAGGAAAAACTGATGGCAGTTGTTCTGTCAGTCCCAGGAGAGCTAAAGGCAACAGCTCTGAAAAGAAATGTGTTTATAGCTCTAAGATGTGGAGAGAAAAAAAAAGAGGAAAATGTAAATATATGAATGTGTGTTTGGCAGGGTGTAATCCCTTGGCTGGTGTCTCTCCTGTGCAGTGGAACTGCTCTTTGTCTCTAATCAGAAAAATGTGAACACTCTAAGGATGGCAATCAATGTGTAAAAGTGGCATTAGGGGCCAAAAAATCTGTTAAGGCCATCAGGATTTTACAATACAGCTGTGGTAAGAAGGCTGGTTATCCTTCTTTCCCCATTAGCTCACCCAAGTGGGGAAGAGCCACACTGTTTACATGGGCAGGATTTGATACCAGACTTTGATGAAGCAGAGAAAGGTGGCTTTGGGCACACTGATGCTGGCATAGTTCACATCAGGGCTATGCTTTCAATCTAAATCTCCTAGTAATCTGTGATTTGCATCACAGAATGGTCTTGGAGCGTGAAAACAACTGATTTTTTTTTTTTAGAGAGGACTAAACAAGAAAAAAAATAAGCTCATGACTGATATGTTCCAGCTGTTAATGGGAACTGCTCTGATGTGAACCCCCCTGGGCTGTGGAGAGTGTGGACATCATATTCTCAGCACCAGCTGTTTCACACTCTGCATTTCTTCTTTAATTGCTAATGAAGACAGTCTATCTGCCTTCTTCAAAGGCAATAAATATCCTGGATTCCCAAATCATGTACATGGTCATTGCAGCACTGCTTAGGTCTCTGATATTCTGTAACTTCTGGATATTCTGGAACTTTTTATTTTCACCTTGGTTTGATGGTTTTGTTGAAGTTGATTATGGCATTTCAGGTACTGATTGTCTTCAGTTGCAGACTGACTGGGGCTGGCTTTATTTTTAACTATTTTGATTTCTTTGATGGTTAATTGTCACCTGAGCTTGTTTGCAGGCTGGTTGCAGTGAACAGTGCTGAAAGCAGTGCAGCCACAAACTGGAGAGTGCACAGGAATACACAGGGAAGTCTCTGTGGGCATGGAGGTGTTCTGTCCTCTGCTAAATGAAGTGCCAAAATGGCCCAGACACTATTGCCAAAAGCCTTGGTTGGAAAAGGTCTGATCTGTGTAAATAAACACTGAATGAAAGGAAAGGACACCTTACAGGCTCATGGCTAAAGGCAGCTGTAAAGAAAGGTAAAATAAAATGTCAGATGGTATCTTGGCATTGGAGCACCATCCAAGGCACTGAGTGAATGCTTTTAATATTTTGAGTTTTAAAAATATTTTTTTTTATTGTTTATATGAAAAAGAGACTCTTCAAAGCATGAGAGATACAAGAAAGGATTTCTACAGCCCACCTTAATTCTAGCTCTTCCTAAAATTTTCACAGTTGACTTTGATTTAGCACAGGGCAGTACAGATGGAAGATGCTCCAGTCTTTACAGCAGTAGCTGTGCAGGATTAAGTTTTCCAATGCACTTCAGATTTATTAGGGAAGTTCTGTAGTTTCTTTAGATATCTACTGCCTGTCTGCAAAGCAAGAGTGGGCTTAAAAACCCCCAAGGATGTTGTGAGAATGAAATCTGTATCAACAGCTACAGGGGGGGTCAGAGAAGCTGCAGGGAATTGTGTCTCACTCTGAGTTATCTTCGTGTCTCCCACACGGGCCACGTCTCCTGCTGCAAGGCAAACTAATTCTGCTGCAAATGTCTGCTCCACCAGGCAACTGGTTCCCACACTTGCTGCATGAAGGGAAATTGGAGAGATTCTTCTTCTTCTTGGCTTCCTTAATGATGGTGAACACCCTGGGGTTCTGGACCATTGCACACAGGTACGTGTGAGGAAATGAAAACATGATGTTTCATTTGTAGGTGCGGGTAGAAATTCTTGTAAAACCTGTGGACTAGAGTGCAATAAGGAATTGGTAGTGATAGATGATATGTGGAGAGAGATTTCACAGCAGAAATAGCTAAAAAAAGCTAAAACAAACTGGTGTCATTAACCTTAAATAGTTAAAGGGTCTTATTAATATAAAAAAAAACTCTAAAGAAAGAAGAGCATTGTATTCCTTCTAGAAGGGTGTAAATACCAAAGGTTGGCATGGAGTTTAGATGGGCACACAAAGCTAGAGTGGCCATGGAGCTGACCTCCACTGCCCTTGGTTTTGTACCCATTTGCAGAAAGCCTTGCTGCTGTCCCAGTGAGCTGTGTGGGGCACAGGGGTGGTGAGACAGCAGCACTGCTGCAGGAATGCAGCAGCTGCAGCAGAACAACCCCCAAATATTTTCTGATACTCTACTGAGCATGGGAGGAAAGAAACCTCCTGCTGGAGACAAGAGAATTTCTCAGCACACTCACAAGGAGCAATTTTTATGCCACCTATAAAGCCTAGGTTTAATCCCTGTATTTTGCCTGTAAAATGCAAGGAGCTCACAATTCCAGGACGTGGAATCCCAGTGAATTTTCTGTTGTCAGCACTATAAGTAACCCTTGGAGTCAAGAAGAAGGAGGGATGGGTCAAGTGAAAGTGGGTCTTGGGATTGGGAGGCAGCTCTGGGGAAATCCTTCACAACCTTGATGAGGCAGGGATGTGATGATGAGAGCAACAGGAAACTTCCAAGGATGGTGCATTCATAGAACTCTTGACAAAACAAATGTATTTTCTATTACATATAGCACAAAGTTTAGCATCTTGTTGGTTATTCCAATGTGATTCTGTTCTCATAAATGTGAACTGGATCACAATTAAAAACATTTCTCCTGTGTGTACTTCGTAGTCCTCATATAGGATTTTATTCTTCTGTAAATTGAAATTCTCATTTGTGACATTTACTGCTGAAAACGAAAAGATTTCAGTTGTCAAAATGTTACCATAAAATTGGTTTAAACTAAAAAAAAAAAATGAATTTTGCACCACAGCTTAACAATTTTATTAAGGAATCTGTTGACCTCTAATTTTCCTAAAAATAGAAAACCAAGCATTTAAAAAAGTTTATTTCAAATCAGCATTTCACTTCAGAACCAAGGTATTTTATTTTTCAATAATGCAAGTCTTTTTCTTACTAGAAAGACATTATTTTGAAATCAATTGTAATTTGTTTCATTTTTTGATGAATAAGAATTCTCTGAGTGTGGAGGGAAAAAGTGAGGACTATTCCAATAAACACTGATTTAGGCACAGGGGGAAAACAGTCTTTAAAACTTGGAATAAGAAAAAATACACTAAAATTTCTCTGAGGGGAAAAAAAGCATGTTAATTATTAAAAAAAAAAATTTAAAGGGCACAGTACAGGTATCATTAACATCTGTACCCAGTTTGATTCTTCTCATCCTGAAATTCTGAAAGGTTCTAGGAAAATCTGTATTTGCATTTTCCTACTTTTTTGGCTGCCTTGAAATCCAGGATTCAGAAGGCAATGCAACTTCAAAAGTATTGTGTATAAGCAGTGGGTTTATCCCTTAAAGGATGATTATTTTGTTGTTCTCTTTCTGTATCATCTCCCCCAGATACAACAATCTGCATGAGGATTGCACCAATGAATTCAGAAGAATTCTTCCTGGAGAAAAACTTTTGAAGCACGAAAAAGCCATCAAGCATTATAATGCTGTCCTGGAAAGTTCTCCCATTTTGTCTCCTGTGGAGAAAACCTGATAAAATTTCACCCTCATTTGACTAAATTTTGATTTTTTTTTTTATCCACCAGCTGTCTAATGATAAATTACCCAGTGCACTTAAGTGGAGTTATGTCCTGGTATCCATGAATTATCTGATGAATAATAATGTTATTTATAAGTTGACAAAATAGCATTCTTCATAGGATTTGGCCTTGAAGGAGGCTGCACTGTCATAATTCACACTGAGGCCAAGGAGAGCTCACTGCTTGCCACAGCTGACGGAGAGAGGCTTTTAATCTTAATATGGAAATAGGTATCCACATATATTTGTACTTAGGAGTGATCAAAAGTTAATAAAACTGCAGACATTTGCTTAGACAGTGAAATGGACACAAACATATCCACCTTCTTTGCAAACTGCCCTGAGATCTACCAAAAACACGCTGGAAGGAAGATAACAGCCATCAGCCCACGAGCTGTGGCATGAAACCTTGGTGCTTGAGGCACCCAGCCCCATTTGCCTTTCCAAAAAGATAATATAAAGGAAATTGCTAATAGGACAAGGAGAGACTGGAATATATTAGCATCAAAATTATTAATTGCAGCCCATCTGAAGAGGGGTGAAGGGAATTAAGAAAAGATTGGGAAAGGGTAGATGAAGCTGGAGGTGGGGGGAAATAATTATTAGTATTTCCAGCTTAAAGATCTAGACAATGTTAAGCACTCCCAAACTTTTCTGATTTTGTTATTGTGAGAGATGATCATCTAACCCTTAACATTTCTTTTTTAAAGACTTTGAGACCTATGAGAGAAGTGGGGTCTTTATGTGATAAGGAAACATATTGAACACAAAAAAATTAAAGAAGCACTTTGATATCAAGATGTTCAAAGAGGAGGGGTAGTTAAATCAGAATGCTTGCTAGATATGAGGAATGATCTACCACAGCACAAGCTACATTAAAATGATGTAATCTACTGAAGTGACACAGTTTGTGAGCTGAAACTGTGCAAGAACTGGGAAAGAAAATCTCTTCTGCACCATTAACCACACTTAATGCCCTAACTTTAGGTTGGGCATTGTGGAGTGGGAGAAAAATATCATGAATACCCCTTTACCCAGCAAGGGACAGGCTATTTCTCCAAAAGTGGCTGCATAAGCTGGGATGGAGCTGGGGCTGTAAGAGGAGAGGCAGCAAAAGGCTGAAGGATCTCTCCTCTGAGAGCACTGGAAATTGTGAGACAGGCTAATTTCTACATATTTGAGTAAATTTATCCATGACACCTGACAGTTATTTGCTTGCAAGGTATGATTTTTCTAAATCATATTTGTACTGCAACAGACTCAGGTTTAAGCCATGAAAAATTTGGATACTTAACCTTTGTCCTTGTAGAAGAGCTACAGAAATGCTGGTTGGAGTCTGCTGACAGAGAGATGTGATTGTTTTCAATGCATTTTTGAGAGTTGTACACAAAAGGAGGATGGAAGGGTAAAATTAAAATTTTGTGCAGATGAATATGATTGGGCTGTTGATGTTTTTATTAACTAATGATTTTTTTTTTATTTTAACTGTAAATATAACAGTGGTTTGGAACCATTTACATCAAGAATAAGAAACTTTGTTTTAAGGTAAAATGTTTGGTCTGCTGCATGCCCAGGCTGAATGGCCTCAAACTTCCCAAGACCATTTTCTTTTTGCCCAGGCTGAATGGCCTCAAACTTCCCAAGACCATTTTCTTTTTCTCCTCATTCCTCTCCTCTTTTTCAGAAACTGAAACATGAGAATAGATGACAGCAGATAACAGAATGCAGACATTTGAGTTGGATTGTCTGATGATAATTCTGCAAGAAAAAGAAGATTAGTTAACTCCTTGGATAGGACTTCCTTAGAAATGGGCTTTGGGACAAGGAGTTGAATAATGAAATCTCCCTGCCTTCTTCACATGGTCAGGAGGAACACTTCTATCGGATTTAATAAAGAGTTTGGCCTTTCAGATGGATGGCAGAAGAAAAGGAGGCACTGGCTGCTGAATTTGGGCTTAGTTCAGTTGGTGGAGCAGAGGAATCTACATGCAAAAATCTATCAATCAACCTCACTGTTGTGACAGGGCAATTTAGCACTTAAAACCAAGAGACAGGAATTTTTCCTGAGCTGCAGCATCTAGGACTCCATTCCAAGCTGATGGAATCCTTTGTACATGCGGGGCACTGCCTAAGTGATGTAAATCTTGTGCCAGCACACAGTGAAATCAGTATAAAGGACTCCAAAGGTTTGGTCTTTACTTTGAAGGAAGCTGCTTTTCACTTCTGGAAAAACTTAGTGTTTTGTTTTTTACATTAAAAAAATTAGAGGACAGAAAAATAACAAGGATATGTGTGTGCAGACAAAATGATGCAATAAACAGCTGGAAAATGTTAGGGGAGCCTTCTTTTGTTCAGCCTTTTGTTGATCTATGGCAGTTTTTAGGGGAGATAACAAAGCACTAAAATCTGATTGCTTGTGTTTGAGGTCACCCATTGCCATTCTGTGCATGGCTTTGCACAAAGTAAATTTGGGATACACGTGTTTTTATAGTTTTGAAAAGTATTGTGGAAAAAGTTGCCTCCTAGATGAGGAGTGACCAGAAACATCCCAGTTCAGTTTTCTGTTTGATTACTGCCTAGATTTTCTGACTGTTCTCCCAGCACAGAGTGAAATTAGTATAAAGGACTCTAGATTTAGGCTTGGCTTGGGAAGAAGCTGCTTTTTGTGCAGCTCTGGTTATAACTGAGTAGGTGCTGTGCTCATCAGAGGTCATTACTAGCCTTGAATAGCCAGATGTATTTCTGATTACTGCTGACACAGTTTGAGGGTGTCTTTTTGATGGTTAAATGTCTGTTTTATACTGTATTCATGCACACACATAAAACAAAATGTAAGTTCTGTCCCAGACAGCTCAGAGACCACCCCAGTTAAGTTTAAATGTATGGGACACCATTTTTTGTGAGGGAGGGGCTGAAGAGAACTCGATGGAGAGGATTAAGATCTCCATCTGTTAAGTTTGCACTGATGATAAAACACATGCTCCCAGTTGGAATAAGATGCATTAAAAGAGCAATTTCACTTCTACTGCCTAGCAACAATGTCATTGAGCACCTGCAATAGTTTAAACATTAGGCATAATTGGCTTTGCTTGACATAAATCTGTAGTTTTGTAAATAAGAGCAGTTGAGTTCCTATGTAATACCAATTAGCTATAAGGAATGCTTTGTTTGCTGAAGCCTGCAGCTTTGTGAAGGAAAGAGGGAGTTGTTAAGGCTCAGCAGTGGTAGTCAGAAGGTAGAACCTACATTAGACAATTGCACAGGCTTTTGAATATCCTCGTGCAAGTTACTTAACTTGTTTCAGTCAGTTTTGCAAAGTACAAAAGAATAACATTTATAATTTTTTTAATTTTTTTTTTTTGGTAGAGAACTCAGAATGTCTGATCAAAATACCTTGGAGGTAATTTTACAGCACTAAACTGAGCTGTCTCATTCTATGTTGGATTTCTTTTCCCTTCTTTTAGTGGAAGATTTTACTTGAAAATTCTTGACGCATCTTGAAAATCCTTGTAAATTTTCTAGAATCTCTTGTTTTCTGCCAGGGATGGAAGAAAGAGGTGCATGATCCACTAGACATGAAAATCAGTCTTGTCCAGTTCCTGTGGGAATTGTGAGGTAGGAGAATCCCTTCCTTGTGACATTAGAGAGTAGAACTGCAGAACTAAAGCTTTTGGCTGAAGCTTGGTGTCTGTTTGTTATAACATGTATTAGATTTGTCCTGGCAAGGGCAAATGTAGCTGCCTTCCAGAGAATGTTTTGGAAGTCTGCTTTTTTTTTTTTTCATCTGAAAAAAAAAGGAAATTCACAAGTCTCCTCATGATTTCTCTGTTCTGAATAGAATAAAAATTACCTTTTCCTCTTTCTCCTACCTGGTCTCTAGGAAGCCTCACCACAGAAGTCATATTCTGGTGATGTCATGCTTTAAATTATTTAAATTATTATTTTAAATTAAATTATTATTTATATTATAAAAATTATTTAAATTATTCAAGTTTCAGTCTCTGTCTATAACTTTAAACATAGATTTCCATTAATCAGAGAAGACTGACATCTAAAACTTATGAAATCTCCTAGTATTGATGATGACTCTTTAATCAGTTCTAATACTCAGTGGTAATAATAGTGAAAGAAGCTGCTCTGACAGGGATTTTTTAGTGTTTTGGAAATATTTCATCTCCAGAGAGTACTGGATATTATACCTTATGACTACCAAGTTGTAAATACAATTTGTAGATTTTTTTTTTTATTTCCAAAATAAAATTGGCAGATTTTTCTTTTTAAATATGACATGACCAACATCTTTTCCTGTTTTGTTTGTTTTGAGGCTGAATTTTTGTTTGTTTTTTCTCCCCAGCTTACATAAAGGAATCTGAGTAGTCCATGACCTCGCCACAATTTTATGTAGAGGCAAAATGTTCTCATTCCTATCTAACTCCTGAGAAAATGCCCAAGTCTAGAAAATATTGCAGATATTAGCTTTATGTTTTTGAGGCTTTGGCTTCTTTCCTGCTCATATGGGAAACTCCTGTTCAAGTGGTTGCACCCTCACAGTTTAGCTTTGAGCAGAGGTTTTGAAACTGAATCTTCAATACCCAGCAGAGTGTTGGAGCTGAATGCAGGGCTATGCATATTTTCTGGACTCTCCTTTTATTATTTAAAAATATACATTCTTTTTTTCCTTTCAGATCAGAAGAAATGTTTTGAAAGCTGTAAAGCTTAGCAAACAATCCGGAAAAAAACCCAATAGCCAAGGAGGAGTCAGTGGGGACATCAACACAAAAACAAACCTTAAAGCAGTGGATGTTTGTCCTACCTGCTTTGTAGCCTGCTAAAAAGCAGCTTTTGAAAAGCAGACCCAGAATGCTTTTATTGTCATTTTGTGTGAAGTTCAGAAGCAGGATTGCCATGGGATTGGGGGTAGTAGTAGCACTCAATAAAAAGGCACAGTGAGTTATCTGTTTTGTTTTTTGCATGGTCAATGACTGTGACATGAAGATATTGCCTGTTTAGCTGGCAGGATGGAGAAATCTTTCATAACAAGCAAAACTGTTAATTCAAAATTAATGTTGACTAGTAAACCAAAGGTTGCAAGAGGATTCTGCTTGAAAGCAAATCCAGAGTTACATGCAATTCTGAATTTCCTCACCTTAGCTCATAGGGTTTTGCTGTTGTCTTGAAATTGTTCCCTTTTAAAGTATTCAGGAGAAAATCCTGAGCGATTTTAATATCATGCTGACAGATGAAAACCCCCTCAACAAGCTTTGTCACTGGTTATAAAGAGCTGTCATTTAGTGGAAATG